TCTCTCTCTCTCTCCTTCTCCCTTCCTCTCTGAAATCAATAAAAATACATATTTAAAATTGTAATCCCTCTTTAATTCTATGGGGACTATAGACGCGACGTGGACACCTTCTAGGTGGAGTAAGGGTGGGGTAGCTGCGACAGCCTGGAGGGGCTGTGTCCCCTGGGCCACCGAGCATCGGCAAGAAGAGGGACAGACTTCTCTAGGAGTCAGTGATTGGGAAAACCACTCTGGGTGTGCAGGCAAGCACAGGACAAAGGGCTAGACTGCGGAGACCAACGTTCACGGTGCCCGTTAGCCTGCCCTCTCAGGCGCCGGTCAATGTGCTGTTGATTTCAACTTTTAAAAGTCTTTATGAATATATTTTTCTGAATATAGAGACAAAACTGGCTCCTTGTAAAAACAAACACATTTAAGGGCCCCACACCTTACAATTACACAGAAATGTAAAGTGAAAAGTCAAAGGCCGCTGTGACCCCACCCCAAACTGTGACCCAATAACCACTGGTAATAGTCAGCGTTCTTCCTTCTAGGCGGTTCCATCATGCTGATACTTTCTTTGCTTTGGATTATTTGGGTTGTTGGTTGTTGTTTTTTTACACACGTGAACTTATATTCTAAGTAGCACTCCGTGACGTTTTAAACGTACAGATATATCATCCAAAATTTCCAGGTCAGCATATACCGATCTAGCCCATTCTTTTTTGCTGTAGCAAAGTGTTCCCCTTATATTTAAATAAACCCTAATCACTGGACACGAGCAAGTAGGCCCAAACGCTCTTGCGCAAAGGCTGCGGCCAACATCGGACGTGTCTTTGCAACGTTCATGTCTCCACAGGAGCAAAAGCAGCTCCGCTGACGTCCTACTGAAGACGATGCAGCTAATCAGGATAGGACCACCCATGTTTTTTAAAAACCAGAGTGGGGTGGGTGTGCAGACGGGGGATAGTGAACATCACCGTGGGTGTCTGAGCTTGGTCTGAGGATTTGTGTAACCATGGAAGAACGGTCCATTCTTGAGAGCAAGAATCTCAACTCCCAACTCCCAAATTCTAAAGCTGTTACTTTTACATTTAATCTAAATTAGGTTTCATCGAACAGCCCAACTTAGGGTCAGCCTGTGTGAAGTTCAAGAGCGTCACTTCACCCACATCCCAGGAAGACCTGCCACTGGACACGGCCTTGGGCTGGCATTCCCCGTATCAGTTCCCACTTTTGCCAATGAATGGGCTTCTGGGTTCTTCAGTTACACAGGTGATGGTGGTTTGAAATTCAAAACAACAGTATGACTTTAATAATTCTTCTGAGAAAGAAAAATCCCTGCAGTAAGCAATGCCGTGAGGGGCTTAGTGACTCATCTGCTTCGCCTTCTACTAACTGTGCCAACAGGTCACTAACCTCTCCGTGCCTGTGAGCAAGCAGGTGCCGCCGACTCTGAATCACTATTGTCAAGATCACAGGTAATATACGTAAAACACAAAAAACGAGGTTCAGGTTCGGCAAAGAATGGCAGTTGTATGATTTGCAACGGAAACTACTAGGAATAAATACCAAGCAAAAGAGGTAAAGGTAACGGGCAGGAAGGAGAAAAGAAAACCCAAGGAATATCGGTCCTCAATTTGGACCTTTTTATCACAGGACCCGTGATGCCTGTTTCCCATGGTGCGCTATCTGCCAAGTTCAGTAGGAGGAGTTGTACCTATATCGTCCTGCTTAATTCTACAGCAAATGTGTGAGGCAAGTCGTCTTCTCCCATTTTTATATACAGGAAAACTGAGACCTATGTTTTACGTTTAATGGCTCTCTCAGATTTATCCATCTAGATCAGGGGTCCTCAAACCACGGCCTGCAGGCCACATGCAAATACAAATATTGTATTTGTTCCCATTTTGTTTTGTTGTTTTTTTACTTCAAAATAAGATATGTGCAGTGTGCATAGGAATTTGTTCATAGTTTTTTTTTAAACTATAGTCTGGCCCTCCAACGGTCTGAGGGACAGTGAACTGGCCCCCTGTTTAAAAAGTTTGAGGTCCCTGATCTAGATAAACTAATGTTAAAACTCAGATCAGTTTGTCCCAAACCTACACTTGTCCAGGTAGCAGGCTACAGTCCAGCATATAGGCTGCTTCAGTTTCTTGTCTGCTTTACTCCTTTCTTTCC